TCAACACCGCAGAGGCACCAATAGGGACATGCACAGCTCGGTTCTTCCTCTTTAAAGATCACAGATCCAGGAGAAATTAAAAAGACAGGAATTGGGAGGTGTACAGTCAGGGCAAGGCTGAGTCAGATACTTGCAGTGACAAGTAGCAGATACCCACTGGCATGGACTCAAGCGCAAATGGGCACATGGCAGTAAGACAGAGGGTATCTCTTGAACTCAAAGGCAGAAGCAGAGCCAGGCTTGGGAGTTCGGAGCATGAGGAAGAAAACCTTAAGGCAACACTTGCTCAGGCTTCACTCGCTCTGGAGCGAAGTGATCCTTCCTCCCTGATTCACACTTCCTTTTCAGGGCATCAGCTTTCACTGTTTCTTCATGCACACAAATGCCTCACAGCTGTTTCATTTCTGTGTTCCCAGCTCAAGGGACCAGCCTAGGTTGAGACTAGCATATCCTATTCCAAACTCTAAATTCCTGGGAAAATCAGACTGACTCAGGGGCAAACAGCCTTCACCAGACACATCTGGTTTCTCCTGGATCCCTCCTGGAGGGGAAGCAGGAGTTTCTCAGAAAAGACAGGGTATGAGGACACCCCCAAAGCAGTGTTTGGGTTTTTGATCGTGATGAGTCTCCTCTTCATCTTTCTCTCACCTACCACTCTCTGAAGTTCACGCAGTTTCTGCATTTCAGGCTCACTCCTGCCCTCAAACTTGGCCTTCACTGTTCATTCTTTCTCGTCTAATGCCTTCTGCTCCCGTCCCTCCAATCAACTTCAAATTCTTCTCAATGCTATAAAACATTACCATCCTACCCAGAACATGACACATACTATATATATATATATTTTTAAATAAATTTATTTATTTTTGGCTGCGTCAGGTCTTCGTTGCTGCCCGCGGGCTTTCTCTAGTTGCGGCAGTGGGGGCTACTCTTCACTGTGGTGCGCTGTCTTCTCACTGCGGTGGCTTCTGTTGCGGAGCACGGGCTCTAGGCGCGCAGACTTCAGTAGTTGTGGCTCATGGGCTCTAGAGGAATTGGGAGTAGGCTCAGTAGTTGTGGCACACGGGCTTAGTGGCTCCGCGGCATGTGGGATCTTCCCGGACCAGGGCTCAAACTCGTGTTCCCTGCATCGACAGGTGGATTCTTAACGACTGAGCCACCAGGGAAGTCCTGACAAATCCTGTATTAAAAGGGTTTTTTTTTTTCAGTGTTTGTTTGTTTCAGGTTCTGTGACTTTATTTTTTTTCTAACTTTATTAAGGTATAATTTTCAAATAAAATTGTAAGATATTTGAAGTGTACAATGTGATGAATTGGTAGGTATCGTGAAAGGATTCCTGCCATCAAGTTAACACGTTTGTCACCTCACATACTCAATTTTTTTTTTTTTTTTGGTGAGAACTTTTAAGTTGTACTCTCTCAGCAAATTTCAATCATACAATACAGTGTTATCAACTATAGACACCATGTTATACACTAGATCCCCAGATTCCATTCACCCTGTAACTGAACTTTACACCCTCTTACCAATCTCTCCCACCTCCTTGTCCCTGGCCCACTTTTCTACTCTGTTTCTATGAATTCGGCTCTTTTTTAAAGGTGTTTTAATGGACAAAGTAAACAGATAAACCATATATTGCATGTACAAGATAGTCTCTGTATGTTTTTTTCTGGATTTGGAATACTACCTATTATGTACCACTAAAAACACACAACATGGTCATATCTGCCTTGCGGTGTCCGTATTATAGCCTCCAGATATACTGTACTTTTCCACTTTGTAATTAATACCACATAACCATTATTTAGGGATAATGCTGAGTAACCTCTTAACAAAACACCTTTCAATAGAAAGGAATGCCAAAAAAAAGAAGAAAAAAAAAAAGAAAAGCCCTTTGGAAATTCAATAAATGAATAAAAGGAATAAATTCTAACTGACACGAAAATGTAGTCTATTTCCTTATGCAATAAGATTCTGCTTATCTCAAGTTAAACAAAACTTATAGTCTAGCTCAGAGATCAGTTCCTATGTTATCTGAATGTATATGACCCCTAGGAAAATAAAAGCCAATTTCTGATCAACTGTGAAGAATGCAGCCTTTTGTTCTTTTACTCCTCTCCACGGTAGATGGAACCATCCAACAATGAAAGATTACAGAAATCATGCGTTGTTCATCTGCATCTCCTGGCACCTAGCTTGATGACCTGTATACGGTCGGTGTACAGTAAATATCTGATCAACTAGAGCGTGTACTTATATCTATGTATTTACAAATAAACACTATATATGCATGAGGCTTCACATGTGTTGATATAAACATATGTAAATAGATCAGCATGTTGGACACAACGCCAAAAGGCAATCTTCTCAAGCTTAAAAGGGCATTCAAATCACCTAGGGATATTATAAGGTGCAGATTCTGATTCAGTAGATCTGGGGTGAAACTCAATATTTGCATTTCTAGTAAGTTCTCAGGTGATCCTGATGCTGCTGGTCTACAGATCAAATGTTAATAGCAAAGTACTCCCTTCTTTACTCCCTTTAGTAGGAGGCCATAGGCAAACTATGCAAATAATTAAAGGGTCCTTCTCAAAGATCATGCTCAGTCATTTAGGAAAATGTATGATAATATCCTCAGGGAAACTCATCTTTATTATCAGATTCAAGTCTGCAATAGGTACTTCTTTTTTTTTTTTTTGCGGTACGCGGGCCTCTCACCGCTGTGGCTTCTCCCGCCGCGGAGCACAGGCTCTGGACGCGCAGGCTCAGCGGCCATGGCTCACGGGCCCAGCTGCTCCGCGGCATGTGGGATCCTCCCGGACCGGGGCACGAACCCGTGTCCCCTGCATCGGCAGGCGGACTCCCAACCACTGCGCCACCAGGGAAGCCCTGCGCTAGGTACTTCTTTACTGAGCACCTACGCCAGGTACAAGAGCTACAGCACCCTTTAGTCATTCAAGGATACAGCTTAATAAAGGATTAAAATACAACTTGAGGCGTCTCTGAATCCTCAGTGATATTCAAATAGAGAGAACATTAGAGAATGACACCAAATGTGTATGGATGTGTGTATGGGGGAGGCGGTGGGTAAGCAACTGCTTAGGATCCCGCATCTTCAAGAGGTTCCTATCAAGTATCGACGTCCATCTCAAGAATATTCCTTGGGACTTCCCTGGTGGTGCAGTGGTTAAGAATCTGCCTGCCAATGTAGGGGACACGGGTTCAAGCCCTGGTCCAGGAAGATCCTACATGCCGCCGAGCAGCTAAGCCCGCATGCCACAACTACTGAGCCTGCGCTCTAGAGCCCAGGAGCCACAACTACTGAAGCCTGTGTGCCTAGAGCCCGTGCTCCGCAACAAGAGAAGCCACCGCAATGAGAAGCCCGCGCACTGCAACGAAGAGTAGCCCCCGCTCACCACAACTAGAGAAAGTCCACGTGTAGCAACGAAGACCCAACGCAGCGATAAATAAATTAAAGAAAAAAAACAGAAGACGACTCCTTGTGCACCATCCCCAAGCCCTCGTCACTCTGCCCACGTCCGCCTCTCCTCTGTCTTCGCAGTCATATGGGAATGACAAGCCTCTGGGGTCAATTTCAACTTGCTGGACTATAGAACTTCACCATCTCGTCCTGTTAGATATTATGTCAAGTGTGATGAAAAAGACCGTAGGTAAGACTGGTTATACCACTTAAAAATGAGAGGAAAAAAAAAAAAATCAATCAGACAACTCCTTTCCCTTTCCCTTTCCATTTACCTAAACCCTCATCACTGTCAAGGCTTAAAAGGAAGTTCCCCCAGGGTCTTGGCTGTGCAACGGTGTCTGCTGGAAGCATGACCGGTGAGAGGAAAATATAAGCACTTGGAATTACAGGCTGCCTTTTCACTAATGGAGAGTGGGATGCTTGGTTCAACAACGGGCTATCATCTATTCACTACAATTCTAAAGAAATGCGAACCTCAAAGACAAATTTGAAAATCAGAGAAATCCATTACATCCTTAATAATGTATTTGTTCATAAACAGGCAAAACTGTTGTTTAAGTTATTACAGTATTCTTTTGCCAGAGGCATAAACTTAATCACATCTACAGCGTAGCATGAACCTCTTTTGGTTGTAGGTGGTGGCATGTACTACTCAAACTGGAATACCCGTATCAAGGGAAGAGGTGCACAGTGCAGGAAGCCAGAGGGTACATGAACCCAAACCACAAACCCGGGGCATTTTTCTAGCATGTCAATTTCAATTAAGATTCGAAGGAAGGGGAGTAAGAGAAACATTTCATAATATGACTGATAATAAGTTTAAATAATTATTTTACACGAAAATAAATATGGAATAGGACAATTAAACTTCAGTCATTTTAATAACAAAACACTAGACAAAAAAGAAATTTCGTATCTAAGGGAGCCAGCTCTCTCCCTGCAGGAGAACTTCTGCCAGTGCAAGAATCTAAGAATCAGTCATCTTTTTTTAAAGGTATATTTGAAAGAGTCACTATTTATCAGTGCAAGGACATATTTCTCACATAAGATTCTGGGGAAATAAGACTGACTTCTAATCAGAACGTTTCAATCCTAAGCAAATCCTTTTCAGAACTGAATGTTCAACACTGAATGTTTGGAATTTGAATAAATAGTATAACAATAATGCAAGAACAAATTTACTTCACAAATGTAATCACTGGACAAAAGTTTGAGTTGTCTAAGGAATTACTTTACAAAAAAATTGGAAAAGAGAGAGAGACTGTGTAATCAAGGAGTCTAGGTACTGTAGTCCTTCCATTAATCTTATTCAGAAACTGTGAATATATAGTCAATTTCAGAAAAATTTTCTTATCTTACATACTGAGAGGTAGAATGATTTAACAAGGTACTTTCCATTATAATGATAATCCCAACCCTCAAGCACCTCTACTCAAGAAAATACAGAGAAGGCAATCTGGGAAGGAAGGGGAGTTGGGGTCCATGTCTGATTTTTAAAGACAGAGATCCAGATACTTACAAGGCATCATATGGTATATGCTTGGCCAATATTGTCCACTGTCTCTCTTTAACCACACACGAACAGTCCTGCAACAAAAGAAAATGTGTGTGTTAAATCACACTATTTTTGGTCATGGGAGTGTTGACAGATAGAAACCAAACCTCTTAATTATATATACAGTGGACCCTGAACACCATGGGTTTGAGCTATATGGTTCTACTTATAAGCATATTTTTTTTTCACCAAATATGTACTACAGTACTACACAATCCACGAATGGTTGAACCTGCAGATGTGGAACCACAGATACAGAAGGCCAACTATAAAGTTATATGCAGATTTTAGACTGCACAGAGGGTCAGTGCCCCTAACCCCTGTGTTGTTCAAGGGTCAACTCTGTGTGTATATATGACATAACTACATTGCTATAATTAATAATATATATTACATACAAATATGTATAACATATATGTTTGTTTATAACATATCTCTATATAATACATGCATATACATTTTAATTACATATATGTGCGTGCACACCATTTATGCCTCTCTAAAGGCATATTCCTTAAATTTAAGGCTGTATACATTTAAAATTACATATGACTTTTATAATTAAGTGTTTGAGGATAATTAAATTTTATACTCATATATATTTATATACACGCATGGGATAGTGTTTGAAAATTATTTTTGTAGTTGTTTTGCTCTGGGAGTATATGGCCTTTGCCCCAGTCGGCTGGAAGCATTCATCTCCCTGGGGAGTAATTAGGCTTTACTACGGAAGGGAGTAGGGAGAGATAAAATGAAGCAATATGCAACATCTGACACACAAGGAAGGATGACATAGTAAATTCACAGTCTCACAAGCCACGGCATCGTCTTGCGAGAAGGTTTTTGCAAACACAGTCAAGCAGTGGTAAACTCTGAGACTCAGATTACCGAGCTAGAGGGCTGGCCACGCAACCCACCATGGAACAGGGTAATCCTGCAGCAAAGGCTGTGGATGAAGTTCCAGGCCAGAAGGCCAGATAGAGACACAGCAGACATCCAGGAGAGCTCAGAGAGGAGGGGCCAAAGAGAGAATGAACCAGAGGATACTGGGAGGTTCTTATCAACCAGAAAGGCCCTACCACGAATTACACCAGCACATGCACGCAAGGCAAACACACCTAGGAGGCAAAGGGATATTGCCCCAGAGACCAGAGGAAGCAGCAAACATCAAACCAAGGGAAACGAACAGTGCCCCACTGCTGCTAGAAGATCAAATATGCCACACCCCTCACCCCACACCCTGAAACCATCCTAGGGTAAAAAGCAGACACTGAGAATTTTAATCTCAGAGAGAGATGGACATTACCTAAATAGACTATTTAAGTCATCATAATAGACTAAGTTTTCAATTGTATTGGATTTCTTTCCCAGTTAATCAGTGGGTCTTCCCATCAGAATAGGAGAAAAAGACTAACTACAGACACAATAAAGAAATGCCACTTTCTCTGCATGGCCATAAGATACGATGTAGTGATATATAGTGACACCACTACATATACATGTAAAAGTCCATCTTTTTGGTCAACCAGCCAATTTGTGAGATGGTACAACAGAAAATAATTCTTAAGAAATAATTCAGTACATACATTATTTATACACATATCATACCAGCCTTCACTTAAATTCATTTTATAATATATGTCAAAACAACATTTTAACATGGAGATTATTATCTCAACAAGAATAAATACAGGAGTCACATCATGGAAAATGTCAGAATAGGAAGCTCCAAGAATCAGTCCCTGTACCAAATCAACTATTGAGCTGTCAGAATCACTGTTTCAGAATTCTAAAGTCTAGTTAGACACTTGCAGCATCCATGGGAATGCTTGATGAAGAAGCTGGTATATGTCAATGAATTTCACATCTTACTTGCAGCTACCATCATGCATGCCCCAGCCCTGTAGCAGGCAGCTGTGGGGACAGTGGCCCATGGTCATGGAGTGACTTGCAGGTACCAGGGTGGGAACCCTGTCCTCCAAAACTTGGGGATGCATATTTTGATTTGCCTGGCAGTTCACTGAGAGACTAGAGAAGATACTGGCCGTTGTTTCAATCCCCTAGGTCGGAAGGGCTTCCCGGGCGATGTCTGCCAAAAGAATTTAAAGGGAAGGAAGAACTTTCTCTTCTTTATGAAATTCAGGCATTAAAAGAAATCACTGGTTGGGACTTCCCTGGTGGCACAGTGGTTGGAAGTCCAGCTGCCAATGCAGGGGACACAAGTTTGATCCCTGGTCTGGGAGGATCCTACATACCACGGAGCAACTGGACCCGTGCACCATGACGGTGGAGCCTGCACTCTGGAGCCCACGAGCCACAGCTGCTGGGCTCGCGTGCCACAACTGCTGAAGTCCACGTGCCTGGAGCCCGTGCTCCACAATGGGAGGGGCCACCGCAATGAGAGGCCCGTGCACCACAGCGAGGAGCGGCTCCCACTCGCTGCAACTAGAGAAAGCCCACGCGCAGCAACGAAGACCAAACACAGCCAAAAATAAAAATAAATAGATGAATAAAGTTAAAAAAAAAAAAAGAAATCACAGGTTGACTTCAGAGATAAAAGAACAGAAACTTCAATGATCACATGATCACATACAACTTGAAATATAGTCTTTGCAGAAAGAGTTGGGAAAAGTCACTAAACAGACTTTTAGCATTCAACATTCATTGAATTCAACAAGAGCAATTCAACAAGAGCAATCTCTAGAGAGGAGGGAGAATGTGATTTTCAGTTGCCACATTATAATATTTAAAATATCCAGTTCTGGGGCTTCCCTGGTGGCGCAGTAGTTGAGAGTCCGCCTGCCGATGCAGGGGACGCGGGTTCGTGCCCCAGTCCGGGAAGATCCCACATGCTGCGGAGGGGCTGGGCCCGTGAGCCATGGCCGCTGAACCTGTGCGTCCGGAGCCTGTGCTTCTCAACGGGAGAGGCCACAACAGTGAGAGGCCCGTGTACCAAACAAATAAATAAATAAAATAAAATAAAATAAAATATCCAGTTCTCACACTTGTGGTTGCCAAGGGGCAGGGGGAGTGAGGGAGGGATGGACTGGGAGTTTGGGATTAGTAGATGCAAACTATTACATATAGAATGGATAAACAACAAGGTCCTACTGTATAGCACAGGGAACTATACTCAATATCCTGGGATAAACCATAATGGAAAAGAATATTTTAAAAATGTACATATGTGTAGGGCTTCCCTGGTGGCGCAGTGCTTGAGAGTCCGCCTGCCGATGCAGGAGACGCGGGTTCGTGCCCCGTTTCGGGAAGATCCCACATGCCGCGGAGCGGCTGGGCCCGTGAGCCATGGCCGCTGAGCCTGCGCGTCCGGAGCCTGTGCTCCGCAAATGGGAGAGGCCACAACAGTGAGAGGCCCTAAAAAAAAAAAAAAAAAAAATGTACATATGTGTATAACTGAGTCACTTTGCTGTACAGCAGAAATTAACACAGCATTGTAAATCAACTATACTTCAATTAAAAAATAAATTTAAAAAATAATTTCTAGACATCAAAAAAATTTTTAATAAAATTAAATAAAATACCCAGTTCTCAACAAAAAATTGCAAAGTACGCAAAGCAAGAGGAAATGGCCCATTCACAGGGAAAAATGTGACAATAACTACCAATGAAGTAGGTCCAAATACTAACTGGCTTTACTGGACAAAGACTTTAATTAACTATCTAAATATGCTCAAAGAGCTAAAGGTAACCACAGACAAAGAACTAAAGGAAATCAGGAGAAGGATGTGTGAACAATTAGGGAATATGAGTAAAGAAATAGAAATTATATAATAAAATATATAGAAATTCTGGGGCTGAAAAGTACAACAGCTAAAATGAAAAATTCACTAGAAATGGTCAACGACAGGTGTGAGAAGACAAAAGAATCAGCAAACTTCAAGACAGGACAACTGAAACTACCTAGTCTGAGGAAAAAGAAGAAAAAGAATGAAGAAAAATGAACAGAATCAATAAAGACTTTGCCTGGAATTGAGGCAATCATCTTTGATCATGAGACAAACAGGCTTGAGGATAAAAGTTGACATGCTAAGGGGAGTTCCCAGGTGGTCTAGTGGTTAGGATTCGGCACTTTCACTGCCATGTCCCAGGTTCAATCCCTGGCTGGGGAACTAAGATTCCCAAGCCGCATGGTGCAGCAAAAAAAAAAAAAAAAAAAAAAAAAAAATTGCCATCAAACACCATTGACCCACCAACCCTTTAGACTAACTTTAGACTTGTTTGTGAGATGATCTGATTTTTCCTTACCTTAAGCCACTGTTTAGTGAATTTTATTACCAGGATCTGAATACATGTTAACTGATAGAGAAGATGAAAGAAAGGAATGCCTTTCCTTAGGTTTTGGATTTGTCCAACTGCATGGATGGCACTGTCATTCACTGAGATGAGGAACACTGGAAAAGGGCCAGATTTGGGGGAGTATCATGAGTTCACTTTGAACATTTGAGTGGGAGGTATCTTTAAGTTAGCCTAGAATTCCTAATGAGTGAACAAAAGACAATTATAATTAGAGGCTATGGCATGAGTTGCTCTGAAGATTAAATGTAAGGTTCTTGACAACAGTGCTTGGCACATAGCAAGCACTGGATAATTGTCAACAATTAGTATTGTGATTATCATCACTATTGTTTAAAAACCTATCAGTCGGGCTTCCCTGGTGGCGCAGTGGTTGAGAGTCCGCCTGCCGATGCAGGGGACACGGGATTGTGCCCCGGTCCGGGAAGATCCCACATGCCCCGGAGCGGCTGGGCCCGTGAGCCATGGCCGCTGAGCCTGCACGTCCGGAGCCTGTGCTCCGCAACGGAAGAGGCCACAACAGTGAGAGGCCCACATACCGCAAGAAAAAACAAGAAAAACCTATCAATCAACCATAGGTTGGGAGAGTTCAAGATTCCAAACCTTTTCCTGCTTTGCCAACATACTGAACATCTTACTCCTTGTTATAAGGGATTTTACACTCAATCTACAAAGGTGTTATAAATTATTTATCCATTCCTGCATGCATTTCTTTAACACGTACTGAACATCTACTATGTGCCAGGCTCTGTGCAGGAGCTCCATGTGGACAGACAAGGAAACATCATTAAAACAGTACCTGATAAGAGCTGCAAGCTATTTTCTATCTATTTAAGGCCATGTAGGAAAGGTATCTAATCCACATGGCAAAGGGCGGCAGGTTCAGGAAGCGCTGACTCTGAAGGAATAGCACTGTGTGTTATTTCATGTATTTCCTTCATGGCACCGGCCACAGTCTGCTATCTGATATACCTACTTGTAAATGTGTTTATTATCTTGTTACCGAACCAAACTTGCTCATCCACAGGCAGGAAAGCCAATCTACTGACACTGGGTTGTGGTGAAGGAAGTATAGCAACTATTGTAAGGCGCCAGACAGGTAATCTGGCACAGGTAGTGCTCAAAAAGCCCGAACTCCCCCAAACTCCCTCATGGGTCGCAGGATAGCATTTTTAAAGGAGGTGGGGGGCAGAGTTTGTGATTGGCTGATGGTGAGGTAACAGGGCGGTATCACAGGGGTTAACATCAATCCTTAGGCTCCAGTAGGCCTGGCGGCTATGTGCTCATGGTCATTAAGTAGTTAACACCTTCCATTTGGTGTTGGTTTTAGCATCTGTAAAACAACTCAGGAAGTGTGCAGTCAGATACTATTGTCTAGGTACTCCAGAGAGGAGTTAAAGCACAGGATACAGAGGAGGGTTCTGTCCAGGGAAGGCCCCAGAGGGTCCTGCTCGGTTACAATTTGATTCGCCCACTAGAAAATAAGCATGAGGGGGACTTCCCTGGCGGTCCAGTGGTTAGGACTCAGTGCTTTCACTGCCGAGGGCCTGGTTCAACCCCTGGTTGGGGAACTAAGATCCCGCAAGCCACGTGGCTCGACCAAAAAAAAGAAGAAAGAAAAGAAGCATGAGAATAAAGAATATTCTTTCCTTGCTCATCACTGTCTACCCAGAGCCTAGGAGTACATGGCCATGGTAAATGTATGATAAATATTTGTTGGGTGAATGAAAGTAGGAAGAAATTTTCCTCTACCCTTCCAGGTTCTTCCGGCAGGTCTAAGAAGTAAATTGACATGAGACAGATTAACAGGAAAAAAATCAAACAAAAGTTTAATAACATGTATACATGGGAGAGACCCAGGAAAACTGAGTAACCCTCCAAAATGGCTGAAGCCCTCACCTTAAATACCATCCTCAGCTAAAGACAAAAGAGGATGTTGACAGCAGGGAGAGTCAGCTGTGGGAAGCTACCAGGAAAAGCACAGTAAACAGGGGAGGATTGTGATGCAGATTTAAGTCACTGCTTTCTGCAACGATAAGAGTTTCCAGAGATTTGGTCATCCTCTTCTTGCTGCATCCAGGCAGATACCCTTACACAGTGTAGATTTCCTTTACAAAGGCAAATGTTTCTTGCAAAACGGTAACTCCTACTTGATTTTCAGAGTTTTTCCCATGTCTACTTTTTCTTAGAAAATAACCAGCTTAAAATTAATATACCGGGCTTCCCTGGTGGCGCAGTGGTTGAGAGTCCGCCTGCCGATGCAGGGGACACGGGTTCGTGCCCCGGTCCGGGAAGATCCCACGTGCCGCGGAGCGGCTGGGCCCGTGAGCCATGGCCGCTGAGCCTGCGCGTCCGGAGCCTGTGCGCCGCAACGGGAGAGGCCCGCGTACCGCAAAAAAAAAAAAAAATTAATATACCAAAGAGAGATATTTGGGGATGGCAAATTCTGCACCCCTACAAGGTGTTAGTCCCAGGTGGCAAAGCCTGCTGCTGTCTACACCAGATTCATTCCCCTCTTCTTCCTGAGCAGCACTTAGACTGGCCAGAGAAGGATGGGCAGAGCACAAAGGCCAGTAAGTAGAAGACAGCAGACTTCAAGCTAGACCAGATGCTTAGCAGAGTTTATGTGTTAGAGATACTCCTATAAACAAACAAAAAGAAGTCTACCAGGCTTTCCAGGGGACCGTTTGGCCAACAGAATGCCCGTCGTGGCCTCCCAACAATCCCACAGGGTGGGTATGATTATTACTGTCATGTTACAGGTGAAGTTTCTGCAGCCCAGAGAGGCCCAGGCTGCACAGAGCCCGAGGGTGAGCCAGGTAGCCACCTTCAGAGGCCGTGCTCTCTCATCCACTGCACCGTGCAGAGCTGCTCCCTAACAAGGGGTGGGGAGGAAGGTAGGAAAACACCGGCGGGTTTCACTTCAACATTCTGAGTTTAAAATGGCTACAGATCATCTGAGTAACGATTACACATGGAGCAGCTTCATTTACATGAGGGTTCCCGATAAAGGGAGCACCTACCCTACGTGCACCAAGGTTGTTACACTATCGTAATGTTAGCTGAACCAATGGTCTTTCTGATGCATAAATTATTTTTAAAATATATAAAAGCATACACAAACACACAGTTTTTTTAAGTAACAGTGTTCCTAAAAATCCCAGTTAAGAAAGGTACACATCAGTACAGTCAGCACAGGTTTGTTTAAAGATTTTCTAAAATAGCTGCACAGGTCAGAAAGGTGGCAGGATAATATGAGTTTTATTTTTAATAATAGTAACAAACATACACATTTAATCCTTACAAAGCCCTATGAAATAGAAACTATCCTTTAGAGATGAAAGCGTAAAGCCCAGAGAGCTTAAGCAATTTGCCCAGAACTAGTGAGTGGATGCAGTTATTTTAAATCCTGTGCTCTCTGCGCTAAATATACTACCTTCCTTACACTAGCATGTACCTGGCAATCGGTAAGTTTCACAAGTTAAAAATAAACTGCTACAAAAACATCTGTTCTCCTATATTCTCTTATATTCAGAGGTGTAATAGCAGCTTAAAATAGAAAAAAGATACTGCAACCCAGAGGTCAAAAGCACAATTTGGGTGGCTAGGAATTTCTTAAATAAATGTAAATTCCACTATACAAAGCCTATAAGTGTTCATTTTTCCACAAACTATATTTAAAGAGCAACATAAAAAGCTTTTAATAGTATGTGAAAACTTTTTTCCTTGAAAAATATTTAAGAAAAAACAGCTGTGATTAAGAGTCAGCGTCGACTCTTTCCAAGATGGCGGAGGAGTAAGACGCAGAGATCACCTTCCTCCCCACAGATACACCAGAAATACATCTACACGTGGAGCAACTCCTACAGAACACCTACTGAACGCTGGCAGGAGACCTCAGACCTCCCAAAAGGCAAGAAACTCCCCACGTACCTGGGTAGGGCAAGAGAAAAAAGAATAAACAGAGACAAAAGGATAGGGACGGTACCTGCACCAGTGGGAGGGAGCCGTGAAGGAGGAAAGGTCTCCACACACTAGGAGCCCCTTCGCGGGCAGAGACTGCGGGAGGCGGAGCGGGGAGCTTCGGAGCCGCGGAGGACAGCACAGCAACAGGGGCGCGGAGGGCAAAGCGGAGAGATTCCCGCACAGAGG